TTTAATTTAGTTACACCAGTCCAGCGTTGAGTTGAGATACTTAAACTGGTTATATTTTTAATATTTAACCTCGAACCAGGGACAGTTTTTATGGTTCTGTTTGGACTTTTAATTTATTCACACATGTTCAGATCCGTCAAAGAGACCTCTCTTGTTTCCCTTCGGTTTTGTTTTTACTTCACTGCCAAAATCTGATAGTCTCTGTTTCTTTATGGCGCCCTTTAACTTTATTTTTTTTTTTCCAAAAACTATTTTCTGTGATTTCTCAGCTCCCCTCAGCTTCCGTAGAATTTCAGCGTTCCTACTTTTAACTTGTCATGACTTTTAAGGTTCCCTCTGTCAGCACTAGTATAGAGCTGTTTCTGGGTGTTGTGGGTAATCACCTGATTTCTTACTTTTTAACACAGATGTAGAAATGTTATAATGTAGCTCAGGAGGTAGAGCGGTTGTCCAAAAACTGGAAGGTTGGCAGTTCGAGCCCCATCCTATCCCTAGTCTGTCCGTTGTGTCCTTGGGTAAGACACTTAACCCACCTTGCTCCCAGTGTGTGTCCTCCACTAGTGTGTTTGTGAGTGTTGTGTGGTGGTGGTCGGAGAGGCCGTTGGCGCAAACTGGCAGCCATGTTTCTGTCAGTCTGTCCCAGGGCAACTGTGACTATGAAGGTAGTTTACCACCACCAAGGTGTGACTGTGTGAGTGAATGAATGAATGATGTATCCAATGTAAAGCACTTTGAGGGTCTCTGATAAAGCGCTATATGAAATCTGATGCATTATTATTATTATTCATAAAAATCTGATTAAACTGTCCCTCCAGTCATTCGTGACGGTGCGATCGCAACTATTAATGCAAATTCAACCGATCACCACAAATTCAGCTGCAATTTTGTCCAATCACCGTGAATTTGACCAATAAACTAAGACCTTTTCTGCCCACGCCTCTACGCATCATCATAGTCACTTCCTTGTTTACATCGAGAAGACGATCATGTCGGACGCTCAAATTTACCAACAATATAACCCCCAGAGTTTGTGTGTGTTGATTTCAGGAGAGTTTTGACTGTTTTATCAAAGTGAAGTTTGGTGAAGTTGACACTGAATAAAAAATCAAAAATTGAGTTTTCAGAGAAAAAAATCCTGATTTTATTTTTGGCGTGAATCTCGCCGCCCTGACCTCCTCATGGAAGTCAGTATCCAGGACTGAAGGGAAACCTTCTCCTCATCCACGTGTCAAAGACTCACTGAGAGAAAAGTCCACGTCTGAAGAGAGCGAGGAGCCGCTCGACTGAGGAGTAAAACGGCTGAAAAAGTGCGATCTTTGTGATATTTTGGCGTTTTTCACAGTCGGACGGAGCGCCGAGCCTGAACTCGACTCTCTAAACTCCTCTGACATTCTCCGTTCGAGCCGAGCTGGACACGCTGCTCGCCCAGCGGGGAGGGTATCACTGATAAACGAGAGGTCAGCGCCACCGCGGGGGTCGTGTTATGCTGACCGGACTGCAGGGGATGGCGGGCGCCAAAGGGCTCGCAGCATCCTGCCACTGCGAATTAACGTCTCGATGAGTAAATACCAACAAACCGGGCGGACTCCTCTGACCCGGGACGCAGCAGGAGGGCGCCAGGTGTCCCGTGAGGGTCAGACAGGTGGATGAGCTGGAGCTCCATCAGCGTCATGTGGGGAAAGAGTCAGCGTGGTGGCGGCGGCGGTTTCCAGCCTCCAGCAGACTGAGTGAAGTGAAAGTAACATCTCTGTTTAGTGAGCAGGCTTTAAAGAAAGTTTCAAAGTGCTTACGGGTAAAAATCTGTCCGACTTCGCCCTGAAAAACGGCACGTCACTTTTCCGCCTCACTGTCTCTGTCTTAATGTCTTTTTTTATCTCGGCGCTCAGAGAGTTTCTTTGGCGAGGCGGCTCACAAATAAAGACGATTCTCTGAGGGAAAAGGCTCAAGTTTATGATGGAGAGGAAAACTTTTAAAGCCCGTGATGTAACGTGGGGGAAGGTGTTATCTGTGCGCAGGTGGGGCTTCTTAACGCAACTAGTTGGAGAAGTTTCTACTCCAAACTTTTTCCCTTTAGCGAGATTTTCTCACCTGAAATCATCTTTTCTATAAAGTGCGAAACAAACAGGCACTTCCCTGAGGAGGATTACTCACAGTGTTCAGATTAGAGTTGGCTTCAAACCGGCGCCGAAACTCTCAAACCGGTCCGTCATGAATCATTTGAAGTTTCGGCGTCCATGACGACGTCGCGTTTCTGCCACTTTGTTTGAAGTTTAGTTGGAGGAACGGAATCAAAGAACGAAATTATAGATCCTGAAGGTGCAGAAAACAGACTTTTATGATGTGGACGAAGTCAGAGACGTCATCCTCCACAAACATCATCCACCATGACAGAGAGGATCTCCATTTTATAGTAAACACAACCACTCTAGATTAGAGATCATTCAATATGCATCAGTCTCCTTTAAAATTACCTTTAACCCTGAAATAAACATGGATACGATCTGATAAACATTTATTTTCTGCACAGTTTCAATATTATCTTCTATAAAATAAACATCATACACCGCACAGTTTATTGGACGCTCTGATTTATCCTTTTTCTACCTCTGTCTGTTGAGCATCATTAAGTAGAAAAACATCTACCATGTTTGTATGTTGGAGTCTGAACGTTTCATATTTATTAACACTCATCATCACTCAGTCAAATAAATCCCTGACTTTGCTGCAGGCGGTTTTCTGCAGAGTGTATTTTACATCAGGCCGTTTTATTAGCCGAGCAGCTGTTCAGGTCAGGTGTCGGCGCCGCGAGGATGATCATCTGTTTTGTGTCGATGACGGAGTCGTGTTTGTGCAGCATCGACCTTTTTCACCGTTTAATTAAATCAGTTTATGTTTGTATCACTAAAACCTGAGAGGATGTGCAGTTTTATAATATTTCCAACATACTGTTATTTTATTATTATTATTATTAACCTGTTATTTATGTTCAGTGTCTAACCCTAAATTTCCAAAAACCTGCGGATTCACGTTCAATTACCCGATAACGAGTTGTCTCTCTAAAGACAGACACATAGACATATAAGCAGTAGATTGTGTCCTTCCAGAGGAGGAAATCTACTTCTAGACTTCTAGAATCAGCATCTCCTCATCCATGGTGTCATCGGGGTGAAATGACGTCTAAAAACCTTTCACTTGTTCGTCTCCGCCGGAGTGTTTTATCTTGAAAAGAAGCCGGATGTTTTATTTTGTGTCTGTGCCCGACTTCCTTTCCAGCACGGGTTAATCTGTGCTGAATTTATCCGCCATGCTCCGGCGTCCAGAAAAAAATAGAACTCTTGTGATCAGCTGAGGAGTCCGGCGATCCGCAGAGGAACGGAAAGAAGTCGGTGTGAATTGACACGTTAACTTGAATGGTATGGATACGACCTTTTCATAGACGTTCAAGATGCAGCGGGAATTGGTGGTTATACTTCTAAGCGACAATTTTAGAGCACTGTCTCTTAAACATGTACTGTCATGGGCTACTTCCAAGCAGTATAAACACTCCCCAATAAACTCTCAGACGCAGTTGATTCACCTCTTCAAGTTTACTGAGGAATCTTGTGAAACTGAAATGATTCAGTAACATATAAAACAATGAGTTACGGCTTACACACAGACAGTAGAGCTAAGCTACATTAGCTTTAGCCGTTATAATCACAAACGAGCTGGAATGCCGCTAGCAACGAAAAACTTGAAGCTAACTTCGTGTAGCATTAGCGATTAGCGCCATAGCCGTTTTAACAACTTAATTACACTTAAACAACCTTCATCTTAATACAACAACACAACAACGTATGAACACTTACAGACGTTGCATGGACTAGAGGGATGAAAACGGAGGAAAGGAGAGGAGCTTAGAACTGAACAGCTGACGGACCTCGCGAATCTGCCCTCAATAACTTCCGGTTTCTCGGTGACTCGCCGGCTACGTGTTGCCATGGCAACGCGATGTAAACAACTCACACTAGAGCGCAAAAACACTTTGCGTTCAAGCAGCACAACGCACATTCAAGCAACATTACATGTACTCTGCATCAAAACTTGGTATAAATATCTGAACGATCAATATGTACGTCTACTGATCAGGATCCATACTAACCTGTAAATGTTCATGATCGTACTGCAGTTTAAAGGACCAGCTGTGCAGTAATGATAGTTTAACTTGAATAATAAACACTTTATCACAGTCAGGCGTCTTCAAGCTGCACATCCTGAGTTTAAGAAAAGTAAAGATACTTAGTAGGATAAAAAAAAAAAGCGACTCTATCAAAGTAGAAATAAAGATCGAACTGATGAGAGCAGTAAAAGTTTATAGAGCAGTCAGAGTCTCTCTGAAGGACGGTGGAGCAGCTGTCTGCAGGAAAACCATCAGATTGATATAAAGACAAACAGGCAGAACAGAGTAAATAACAGTCAGTCAGTCAGTGAGGAAACAGTCCTTCAGCTCACATTTCTACAGTCGATGACATGAGAGGAATCGCCGCTTTATTGTTTCCTCACTGGAAACTCGAGTGTTTACCTCGAGTGAAAAGATGCTCACCGAAGGACACAGAAGAGCACTTGAGTTTATTAAACTGTTTACACAAGACACTGATACACACACACTTTAACACACACACTAACACACACACAGATGTCAGTGATTGGCTGAAGGTTTGAGAGATGAAATCAGAGGTTGAGCCGGCTTATGTGGCCGGACTCAGAGGAGAGGAGGAATGAAAGAGAGAGGAGGCCGAGATGTTCAGAGGTAGAACTTCTTCATCTTTTAATGTAAACACACACACACGCACACACACACACACACCCTCTCTCTTTTTATCTCCACAGGCTCGCTCGCCCTCCGTCGCCTCTCTTGGCGGCCGCTGAGGCTGTTGACAGTAAAAGGCATAAATAAAAGCCGGCCGCTGTACAGTGAGACCCCACAAAGGGACTCCTCAAAGGCGCTGGCAGCAAATCAAGGAGGGAATCAAATGGAGGAGGAGGAGGAGGAAGATGAAGGAGGAGGGGGCAGAGCCGGGTTAAAAAGGAATGACTCAGAGAAGCAGCAGCAGCACCGTCTTTTTGGAGTCTGTTTGACTGCAGAGATTCTCACATGAAGAAGACGGAGTTATGTTGAGCTTGTGTGCTTTGCTGATCTCTCCTCCTCTTCCTCCTCCTCTTCCTCCTCCTCTTCCTCAGATAGAGCAGCTTCATGAGGACTTTGGCTGTACCCGTGACATTAGCAATAAAAACATGACGCATGAACAAATATTATAAAAGTAAAAGTGAGCACCTTTGCAGACCCACTTCCACTCTGCTTGTCCACTCAGGGCCTGATCATTATAGGTGCAGACCGAGTCCACAGAGAGGGATCAGAGGTCCCCTCAGACTGAGCAGACAGACTCAGGACAGGTGTGCAGGGAGAGGTTACCTGTCCGTTGTCCACATCAGAGGTGGTTAAACCTCCATTCTAACGCCTCTTTATTCAGTATCTGAGTCTGCAGCACATTTCCTGTCTCCTTGTTTCTCAGAAAGTTCAGTTTCTCTGTCCTCTGTTGGTCTTTTCTCAGATTTCTAAGACGTCCCTGCAGCTATTGTGTTTGAGTTCACAGAGTTTCTTCTTTGTTCTCCTTGAGAGTTGAATTTCTCGTCGAATACTCGCAGCAGTGGTTTAGTTTTCCTGAGCGTACTTTAGTGAATGGAGCTGATTTGGTTCGGATCTTGACAGTTCCGTGTTTTTCCCCTCTAGTCCTAAAAAGTGAACGTTGAGGACGACCTTTAAATGTTCATCTGTTTCCATGTTAGAGGAGTCGATCTGGACTTAGACTGAACTCTGAATCAGCTGTTTGTCTCCCTCTTATAACACGATGAATGCCTCTTCTACCTATGAGTAATGTCATGTTGAGTATTATTGTATTTCCAGCGTCCTTCTCTCTCCTCCTCGACCTCCGAGTCCTGCAGTTCCGCTTTCAGAGTCCCTCTTTATCCCTTTAATAGAAAAATGATTGTTTGCTGTAAACTGAATGAGAAAAACTCAGAGGTCGTGACCTTTCAACCCCCTCTTTATATACGAGTGTAAGTCATAATGAGCGGTAATTAGAGGATAAAAGATGAGCGAGCAGAGGGCTTCGTCTAAAACAATGAGGGATAATTACAGCTTGATTGAAGTGGTAAACAAAACCGTTTACAGCGGGAGATAATCCTCTTCAAATATCAGAATAAATATCCTTTAATTCTATTTATGAGATTATCCTTAAAAAACAACATCCTCAGGTTTGAATGTGAGCAGATACGAACTTATCTGACCTACTGTGAAGATTATAAATGAATATCTACTTCATTTACAAATCAGATCAAATTTAACAGAAGCTCCAGCTCTTCTAAATTTGATCTGATTTGTAAATAAAGAAAATAAAACTTTGATTATTCCCATGTTTGTGAGGTCATCTGTAGATAACGTCATCAAACTGAAGAGCCTGCTCGGTTCAGGAAGATGAAACTAACAATAAGTATTTGGACGAGTTTAATACGGAAGAGGATTAGGGCCACAAGGAAAAAAATAAATAAATAAAGGTCTAATATATATTAATTTTTTAATTATTATTCTAAGATCAAATTCAAAATAATTACTTAAATTATATTTAAATTTGAATAAATATTAAACAAATAAAAATAAATTAAAAAATGTAATAAAATAAATAAAAATAAATATATATAAGAAATGTAAATAAAATTAAATAAAAAAATAAAAAAAAGTAAAAATGAAAAATATTAGATTTTTTATTTCTCAGTGGCCCTCATTCTCCTCTGTACTTTAAACTATTGCCATCATAACAAAGAATTTTTTTTTAAATCGTTTTATTTCAGACTCCAAAACAAATCTTAAAAGAGTTAAATTTTAGTAAAACAGGGTATGTGAAACTTTAGAAAAATCGACCGTGATACGAAAAAATAAATGCCGCAATATCGCAGGATGGGAAAACATCGCTGATGTGAACGTTTGTTTTGACAGGATACAGGTTTTGAAAAAAATATTGACGTCTGAAATAATCGCACGAAAAAAATATGCTCTGGTGTGAAAGGACTGCTCTGAATAAACAGGATTACATCTGTTTGAATGTATATTAATGTCGTTGTGAGTCATCAGTCAGAGTCACAAACTTCTCACCTGGGTTCGAACCGTCGTAGAGAACATCGTGTTTCCTCCTGCTGACTGATTCGATTTCTGGTGGACCTCCATCACATTAGGACTCTTATGAAACACTAATCAGGTTAGATTTGTCCATAAAGCTCCTCCTCCATTAAAGCCAACAGTGCTGATGCTGAGAGGAGGAAGCCGCCGCCCATCTCCGAGCCCCGCAGTCAATCTAATTGGTCATTTACTCAAGTAGAAATTTATTAGCCTGATCCATTTTGGAGAGCTAATTCGAGTAATGTAAGGACGGAGGTAAGAGCGTGTGTGTGTGTGTGTGTGTGTGTGTGTGTGTGGTGCAGAGGAGCCTTTAAAGTACATCAGCTCCACCGCAGAGATGGAGATCAATCCACTGTGAGAGTTACAAACAAACTAAAAGCTTCAGGTCTGCGGAGCGCCGTGAATTTACGATGTTTGAAAGTTTATTAAAAAGTCAACTATTGATGGAGCGCAGGAGAAGAAGTGATGTGAGCAACAATTAGTGAGCAGGTATTAAAACAGGCCGGGGCAGATGTGCCGCAGTGTTACGGATGTTTTCTGAAAGTGTTTCCCTTGTTGGTACATGCTCTGATTATCTTAACTTCATGATTGATTAAAGTCTGAAATCACCGAGGCTCTGTGTAAACACAAACAGGAGTAAACAGGAGTCTGAAAAAAACTGACCTGATCAGCAGGTTTAGGGATTAACAGAAAAAACAGCAGACTCCCTCTCACAGCTGTCAGAATCAAACACAGGTTTATATTTATTTATACAGTGCTCAGACTTTAGTTTCCTCTCATAATCAACATTTTCTATGTCAGACTATAAAACAAAATACTCCCCCAAATGTCGACCAATGATGCAAACATGATTTTTTGAGTTGCATACTGAAAAGTATATTTTTCGATGTAAAATCAGGATGTAAAAATGAGTACACCCCAATCAAAGTTGTTGGAGCAAAACTACATTTTAGTTTCCATATCACCCTTACTCTTATATGAGCAGTAGATTGTGTCCTTCCAGAGGAGGAAATCTACTTCTAGACTTCTAGAATCAGCATCTCCTCATCCATGGTGTCATCAGGGTGAAATGACGTCTAAAAACCTTTCACTTGTTCGTCTCCGCCGGTTTGCATGGTGTCCAGAAGCTGAATTTGAAGTTGATGAGTTGCAGATTGGAGAAAGTGTTTTCAGATGACTGGGTCTGGTTTTTGGGGTGTTTCTGGTCTGCAGAGGTCGGGTTCATGGATGGTCAATGCTCATTGGTGCACATGGGATGCAAAGGTTGGCTGGTTTGATCCACCAAACTGCTAAAACAGAGTTTTTAGTGTTTAGTAGACTGGTCAGGATGTCCATGTGGACCCCTTTCCTCTACTGAAACCCCCTACAGTGGACATATGGTATCCATGTTACTTGAACAAAGACCACTTCATGTGTCTTTGCTTTCAGACCACATATGATCCTTGTTGGCAATGTCCTCTTGTTCTTGGAGACCTGACCCCACAATCCCAGGACTTTAAAGGTTCTGCTGCTGTCCTGTTGGTACCAGATACCACAGCTCAGCTTCCCCCCGCTCTACATCCTGTTGTTTCAAGATCCAGATGAAGTCATGTCAGAACCAAAACCAGCGTGAACCCGCTTTGGTTTGCAGGTTTCTTGAATCCCCATTTCCCCCTCTGAACTCACACGGCTCTGGCGTCACTGCAGACATTCAGACTCTGATTGTTTTTGCAGTAACTGTCCTGGATCTCCTCCAGCTGACCATCTTGCCCATCTCCTCCTTTACACACACACACACTCACACACACACACACACACACTCACACACATTAATAGATGCATTCACACAAACGCTCTCTGTCCATTTCCCACCTGCTGACATGGTTTAACCACCATCTGGGCCTCCGTTTGTGTACATGATGCCTCTACGTACACGTTTGTGTGTCACCGTCTAATATCACATCCACTCTGCCCTTGACTTCTTTCCCAGCACCGCCGTCCTTTTTACCCAACAGCACCAGGCTCTGTTGACTAATAGCGCCGGGCTCAGAGGGCGTTTGTGTATTTTCCTCGCCGCTGATGTTGAATTTCACCTCTTTTGTTGCTTCATTTAACCCCAAAAAAAGCGAGGACATGTACCGCTTTGCTCCCTGAAATGGGAACAAATTGTTAGAGTCAGGGAACTGTAACACCGGGGTTGCTGTTGTGAATTTCCGTGAGCTGACTATAATCTCTGCGAGAGAAAGAAAGAAAGCTGGAAGAGGAAGCGGGGAAGGATCTGAAGGAGTCACGACTCGAGTCAGGAAGTAGCTTTGTGTCTGAGTTCAAAGGTGTGGAGGGTAAGTGTGGGTGGCAGGCGGAAAAATGACAATCAGAGTTCAGTTTGTAGCTGATTATAGAAAGTGTTCTACCGGGAGGGTTCGAGGAGAAGGAAACCTGATTCACAGCTTTCTGCTGCAGCGAACTCAGAACACATCTTCACCAACTCCAGCTGTGCAGCCGTGTGACGCAGGAGTGGAGAACTTTTATATAAGTTTCCAAAGACAAAAAAAAAGTCACACTGACCTCAAAAAAGGTGATTTTTTTTTTAAGGAGAAGGGCAGATCTAAACCAAGCAATGAAGAGTGAAAACTGCAGTTCCTCTAAGGGCCACCAGGGGTCCGCTGCGAACGTGGAAAACTTTTATATCTCTAAGTTTCCAAAGACAAAAAAAAGTGATAACTGACCTCAAAAAAGGTGATTTATGAAGAAGAATAGCAGATAGAAGCCGAGCAATTAAGAGCCCAGACTGCAGTTCCTCTTCAGGCCAATAGGGGGCCACTGCAAAAGTGGGAAACTTTAATATCTCTAAAAGTTTCCAAAGACAAAAAAACAGCTGACCTAAAAAAATGTGGTTTATAAAACAGAGGGGTGGATCTAGGCTGAGCAATAAAAGAACAAAACTGCAGTTCCTCTTAGGGCCTCTAGGGGGCCGCTGCAAAAGTAGGAAAACTTTAATATCTCTAAAAGTTTCCAAAGACAAAAGAAAAA